AGCTGATGTTCAAAGCTGCTTCTAGTGGTAAGGGATTTTCAGAGCCTGTTGTTCCCCCCATGGTCAGCTGAGCTAGTAAGCAAATAGTGCTCTTTCTGAACTTCATAGAATGAAGGGTACCCAATGCCCTCTTCCACAGTGGAGTATTTTTTCTCTTTTGGAGGGAACTTTTGTTTTCCCTTCCAGTCCTTTTTCTTTAGTTCATCTCAGTGCTTTGTGTAGTCAAAATATTCTGGGGTTTGTGCTTCTGAGATGGACCACCTTTTTCTACAGAAACTTGTTCCTCCTGGAAAAAAAAGTTGAAATATGTGATGGTGAAAAATTGATTCCCTTACCCATCCTCAGCTCAGTTCTGTAATAGTGCAGTAAGATGGGGGAAGTTAATGTGCACATTTGGAGATGGGAAAAATAGATTTTAAAAAACAATTTCTTTTTAAAAGTTTCAAATGGGAGGAAAAGTACCTTTTTTCTGATACAGTTTCATAAAAGAAATGTGCATTTTAAAATGTACATTTTCTTTCCTAAAGGCTTAAAAAGAAGTTAAAAACTTTATTGATACTTGCTTTAGCGTGGTCTTTTCTTCAAGCAGTGGGAGCTCTGTGGTGGGACTGGCAGCTTTGAGGTAATATTTTTGCAGCTGTTCCCTTTAGCACCCTGTGACTAACGCTTCTCAAGCACACTACTATGCCAGGACTGTATAGTGAATCTAGGTGAATGAAAACCTTTTATTGTGTGCATTTAGTTGTAAGAGAAGATGTCTGGCTTACTTAAACATGTGCTCCTTAGCTTCCAGTGGCGTTCCTCTCCAGAACCCTGGCTATGGCTATACACCTGTTCCTGGAGGTTATGCACCTGCCCCTGGGGGTTATTCACCTGTGCCAGGAGGCTATGCTGCCCCTCCACCACCAAGCGGACCATATCCTAATGCACCACCTCCAATGAATGCCTATGGACCTGCTCCACAGCCCATGGGATATCCATATGCCCAGACTCCAGGTTTGGAAGTTGTGTAATGATGACTGTATTTAATATTAGCTGTAAAGAAATGACAATGGTACAGTGAGGGCTACTGTAGCTTTGTCTCCATCAAGGATTCCTTGTCCTTGAAAAAATCTGTCACATGCTGTTGATCACAGCTATATGAAAATGTGGTTTGTAAGTTGTGCTGCTGCTTGTCAGAATTATTGCCTGCTGCCATGACAGGCATTAACAAATTGTAAAATCCCTGCTGTCTGCATCCCTGCCAAGCCTGCGTAGCTTCCCTCTGGACACTGCTCTTCTCCAGAGCTAATGTGCTGCCAGCCTGTGAGCTCCCTTCCCCTCTGTCCCATTGCCACAGTCCAAAGCATCAGTCTGGTGTTGTCTTTTTCAGGTATTTACCCACCCCTTCCAAACATGAACCCCGCGTATGTGCCACCTCCACCGCCCTACTCCGGGCCATTTCCTGCGGGACCCTCAGCCCCCTCAGCTCCCCCATCGTGGGTGAGCCCCGGGATGCCAGGTAAATGGGACTAGGGGCTACCAGGGTCCAGGTGCAAAAGGGTGCCTGGGGGCTTGGGCTGAGGATGGCACAGCATGGGGTGTGGAAGCTTTTGTTGCAGGAGCTCAAAGTCATCTGTGGGGAGCTGCTCAGCCCTGCAGCTGGCCACAGCTTGGGGTCAGCCCTAGCCAGCTTTCCTGGGCTGCTCTGAATTTTAACCCAGCTTGCTGCAGTTCCTGTCAACTCTTTGGGCCTTTGTTGCCTCCTTGGAAGAGCTATGGCTGGGGAGGAGGCTCTGGGACCACTGCCTAAGATATTTAAGGTGGCTTTCCTTCTTTTTCAGGAAGCAGTAAGGCCATGGAAGCTGCTTCCAGTGCATATTACAATCCTGCCAACCCACACAATGTGTACATGCCCATGGTGAGTACTGTGCCTGGTCTGTGTGTACCTGCTCTCTCCTCTCTCAGTAGCAGAGACAGTGGTTTGCTTTCATAGCAGTTTGCTTTCATACCTTCATGTTGAACACGCACAGAAAGTATGCATTTTTCTGGGAGGGAGGCATGGATGTTGGTCCCATGAGGAAGGCTTGTTCAATTTTCAGTCAGGAAAGGAGGAAGGCCTTGAGATTGATCCAGTAACAGCCATTATTACCTGTCTTATTCCTAAAGGCATAACAGACTTGCATGGGCACAGAGGACATGCAGAGCTCTCTGCATCCATTGGGCCTGAAAGTGGGGAGAGTTAAAGAAAACCAGGACAGTTAAGGTTGAGAGCATGTGTGTTTCTCTTTCATTTTTTTCCTGGCTGTATGGAGATGAGAAGGTCTCTTACTGTGTGGTTGGTGGAACCAGTAGGTTGGCTGTAGCCTACACCTGGTACATGACAGTCCAGCGGTGCCCTTCACTGCCTTGTGTGGGTCTGGCTGGCTGGAGGCTGATGGAGCAGCAAAGCTGGCCCTCTGCCCAGGAGTTTACTGTCTGCTGGGTCACAGCTATGAGCTTCAACAGGGACAAAGCCCTGGGAGAGGAGAGGATGATGGTTAAAACAGATTAAATGGTTCATTTACGGTAGACCACTTGTTACCTGGTTTTGAGGGGACCTTCCCTAGAAACATTATGGGAGACAGTGTATATCATGGAGCATAGCTGACACTAGAGAGGAATGGTGTGATAAAGTGACAGCTTAAACCATAGCACCTGACTCTGTCTGTAGCTCATTGCAGAGCAGTCATTTCTTGTGAGCCAAGCCTGGAAGAGCTTGTCATAAAACAAGCAGGGTTGTTGACTCTACTGTATCTCCTTCCAGGATCAGCCACCTCCTTATACACCTCCCGAGGACAAGAAGAACAACTAACAGAAGGAAATCGCAATCAGCCTCCCACACTCTCTCTCCCTGAAGACAACTTGGCTGTTAGTACCCCTCGAGTTAACATATCTCTGGATCTCTGTTTCTATACAATAGATGTAGTGCTGGGCAGCTGAGCACCTGCCCTCCTCAAACATTAAGTCAGTGGCAATACAAGGCAGAACAACAGCACTTTCCTGCTTATTTGCTTTATCTCATGGGGTCAAAGCACTAACCTTTTGTTCTGCCATTGGCTTGAGGAGAGAGATAGACATCTTATTAAACCTCCAGTATATCACATGACTAATCTAGGACTAAAATGTGAAGGCTCTGGGATCTTGGAGTAAAACAACTTGGAATGCCAAACTTTTTACTTCTGAAGCACCATCCAAGAGGAAAGATGTAGAGAGCCATGAGATTCCTTGCATAGATTCTTGGGTGTCCCAGAAAGGTGTTAAATTTCCTTAAATTCTAGCACAATTCAGTGCGAGATGGGACTCTGGAAATCCTGTTTTGTGCTGGAAGTGTGCATTTCACGTCCTGGACTAACAGTCATGAGGTGATGACCTGGGAAGTGCATTCTAAGAGACACTGAAGCATTTAGCTACTCAAGAGGGAAGGGGATGGGCACCAACTAGTCTGCCTTTGTAGCCATTGAATAGAAAAGCAAACAAAGGTGTGCCACAGGCCAATGAGCTGATAGACTGGCAGGCATTCGGATCAGTCTTCCCTTTCCTGTCCTAGAAGCAGGTCCCATATCTGTGCAATGATTCTGTGTCAAGCAGCTGTTCTTCAAGCGTAATGGAGTCAAGTGCTGCACAGGAGGCTGCCTGCCTTGGAGCAAAATAGGTTACACTAGGAAGATGACCTGGCACTAGCCTTGTCAGCAGACAGGTCTCTCAGCCCTGGCTCCCTCTGCTGAGCAAGCTTATGCTGTGTGCTACCTCCACAGGGGAAAACTGGCCCTCATCTTTTCCTTCAGGCCCACATCTGAGCAACATGGGCAGGTGGGTACTGTAATACCAGAGTTGGATTGCTTAGAAGTGCAGTGTCCTCTCAGCTGGGGACCACTTTCTGGGGTGGGTGTTACTATTGCTCAGCTCTCTTGCAGAGACTCTGGCTGCTCAGCCACAACCTTTCCTTTTTCCTTAGGACATAGTGCCATTAAACCTACTCTGAAGAGAGTCTCTAGTCTGGTAGAGACCCTTGTGATCCTTTACATATGAGGTGATTGTACTCCTTCCTACAGCCCCCTGCCTTCATAGTGAGGGGGAAGGAGTGTTTTGCCTCTTACTTCCCTGTGTGCCAGGGCTCTCCTGTAAGTCAGGTTTGCACAACTTTAAGCAGTTCCACATAAGGGGGAATTTCCTTATCTATAAACACTTTTTAGATCTGAGTTAGAGATATTCTAATAACTCTGTATTTAAAAAAAAAAAAATCAGCCATGAATGTTTGTAACTTTTTGAATTGCACTTTAATACAGAAGTGTTGATACCTTTAGCTGCCTGTTCACTGTTGTGTGTATGTTGCGTTTACCTTAATTCTTGTGTACTGCACAGAGGGCTGGAATGAACTACAACCACTGGTGGTGTTCTGTCAGGGCAGCTGTGAGCCAGTCCTCTCCCCCTGGTACATGGCTAAGCTGGATCTGGAATCAAGTAACTGGGGAGAGGGAAAAGGTGGGGCCTTATCCCCTTGCTGCCTGGGAAGGGTGGAAGGCTCTCACCCAGGTATCCAGAACTGGCACATGTTCATGCGCTCCATGCAGGCACAACACTGCATTTAGCAGGGCTGTGTCACCACAGTGCTACTTACTACAGCTGTATTTGTAGCACCTCTTCCATGTACCTCTGCTGTCAGAGGGAAGGCCTGTCTTTAAGAACTCCTTACTAGCAATTTTTTTTCCAGTGAGGGAAAAAGATATGATAAAAGAAAATGGCACAAATGGCACTTAGCTGTGGACTGTAAAATCTGTTTCCCCTTGTGCCAAGGAGTGCTGTTGCCCTGCTGAACATGATGTAACTACTGGAAAGCTGTTTCCCACTCTGCATCAATCCAATCTCTGACAGGAAAGCACTTTCTTAGCATAGTTGTTTCTGTTTTGAGGTAATGACCTTGTAGTCCTGCATTAACCAAGCAATTATAGCTAGCGACACTAAGCAAACATGAGACAGAGTGTGTGATCTGCTTCCCTTTATTTCAATTTATTTGCCTCAATCACTTCCCATGAACAAAGCCAGCTCCTTGTTTGTTAGCAAGTCCTTCCTTAACAGCACTGCAGTCACTGTGTTCACTTGATGCTGCACTCAGAGAAAGTTTCTGGAAGTGGCAAGAATCAGCCATTTGGTCCTGCAGGAACCAGAGTGGGCAGATGACCAGGAACTCATCAGATGGATGAACAAAACCAGAACTTTTTTTCCCTAATCTAAAATGTGGTATTTCCCAAGTCTGCAGCTTAATCTCGTGTCAGTCTCCCTGGGCTGCAAGCTTCATGAATGCTGCACCCCTCTCTGGGGAAGATGGGGTAGGCCATGTCTCACCTAAACTCTTCTGTAGGATGTGTGCTGTATGAAGGTGAAGCAGTTGAGGGCTTTGGAGTCTGTCCCACCACTCACTTCCAGTTTATTAGTGCAGGCTCCTCCTCAGGATGGAACTGTGGATGTAGCTGCCTTTGGGAGAAGGAGGAGCCTTTCCCTGAGAAACCCTGAGTGTTAAACCTGCTGTAGGACCTGAGCTGCCTCCTAGCAGGAATTTCCTTCTAGAAAGAGGATGCAACTTGCAACTTGGAGGCACTGGTAACCACCTCTAGTACTGGCATCCTCCCAGCACTTCTACACAACATGCTATGGCTCTTCTATTTTTGGTGCTGTACCACAGCATGGCTGCTGGGGTCATGCATAGCTCATGGAGGTTTTTGCTCTTCTCTGCTGTAAACTTCTACCAGAGGGGCTTTAATTCAATGCTAGCATGGATGCTAGGCTGCAGTAGTGCTGGCCTCTAGGATCCTGGCAGCAGGATCAGGCCTGCAAGTAAAGCCTCTCTGCAGAGGACCATCTTGCCTCCAGAAGTTCTTTATACTGGTGGGGGTATGTGGGAGCGATGCAGCCCTATTGACAACCCCTTACTCTAAGCCAAGCTGATTATAGCAAAAGCAAGGGGACTAGGTCTGACCCTTGAGATTAACGCCATCACACATTTGGGCCTTGAAAGGAGAGGGGTGAAGGGAGAAGTGGGTGTCGCAACACTAGAAGATGCTAAAGCATCCAAAGCCCTTCTACAGGTACAGTTTAAACAGCCCCTGCAATGGTCAGTGATACCCAGCTCAAAGGAGGGAAGTTCTCAGGTGTCAGAGCTGTCAAACTCCAACAGTGGCCGGATTCTGCTTATATGGCATCTTCCACAGGAGGATCTCAAAGGGCTTTGCAATCACTGAGGAATTATGCTCTGCACACCCTTAGGAGGCGGGTAACAAGAGTTCCTGATTTACACAGACTAAGCAGACATCATCAAGCTGGTATTAAGGAATGGTGCCAGCACTGCTGGGCACACCAGCAAAAGGCACTTGTGCAGTGAAGAGCCACGTGTCCCAGGGTCTCCCAGCTCACCCTGGCACTGGCCCACATCCCACCCACTGCACCTCATCACAGGAGGATGGGGTGGAGACCCTCGCCGTGGGCTTGCTCTCTGACCACGTGCCAGGGTTGCACTGGGAGTGCCGTGGGACGGAGATACCACATCACCACCCCTGAGGGGTTAATAACAACTGAGAAGTTGTCTCCTGTCTTTAAGCCACTGATGATCTTCCCGCTGTACACGTCTTTTACCTGGAAGAGAGAGATTTCCACAGACCTTTCATCTTGGGGTCCAGCTGTGGTCATGGCATAGCAGGACAGGGTACAGTAGTGGGCAACAGGAGGGTGACCCAGTGGGCAGCTGCCCTTTCTTCCTCGAAGCATGGAGTGCAAGCCCCCTTCCACCCCCCCAAAATGCATAGAGAGCTGGGAAGGGGGATCCAGGTGCCATAGGGCTGCCGTGCTATGCAGTGTGTCAGTGGGGCTCACCTCATACACAGCATTCTCAGGGAAGTGGAGCTTGGCCAGGCTGGTGGTGTAGCGGAAGGGCATATCTGTCCTTCGGCTGAAGAAGACAAGGGCGCTGGCAGCCTGGGACAGTGGGCGCAGAAACACCTCGATGAGGGATTTCTCCTAGGAGTGGGGATAGGTGGGTGAGGCAGAGCTGCTGGAACCAGCACTGGCCCGTAACGTGTCTGACCTTGCCCTGTGGGGCTGCTATGCCAGCATGCCCCCAGCTTCCACAGCTCTCCTGCTTGTTTCTCTGCATCACTTCCTTCTCCCTCCTTACTGTGATGCTCTGTGCTGCTCCTGACTGCTCTCCCAAATGTATCTGCCTTCTTCCTAACCTTGACAATCCTGCGCCCCTGAATTCCCAGGGGGTCCTGGTTGATCTGGATCATCAGGTGGTTCTGCAGGATCTCCTTAGCACTTGGGGAGATGGTGCGGAGATCCGTGGACATGAGGAGAGGAGCTGCCATCACTGTCCACAAGGCCATTTGAGAGCGTGACTGCTCGTAGCTAAGGCCAAAATTTCCAATGATGAGCTGGAAGAGAAACAGTGAAAAGATGTGAGAGGCACATCCCTAAAAAGGTTAGAAACTTGTCTGTCTGTCACCCTTGCTGATGCTGCTTCCTGCTGGGAGGGAGCTTGCCAGGGAAACCTCACACACACTTTCACTTCCTCTTGAGCAGTCCACCACCACCAGGAGATCCCACTTCTGCCAACAGCACACATTCAAATGCACTCAGTAACATCCTTCATTTCACCAATACTCCCCCTCAGTTTGTGCAGGGAAGAAAAGAACACCTGGACGACTTGTAAACTCAAACGGTGAAGGGTTCGCTGCAACCATGTGGTTTTCCCAGAGCTTAGCCAAGGGCAAGACCAGCTTTGCCTCTTTGCAGCAACAGCACTCCTGTTCCTGGCACTCGTCCTTTGCCCTGCCCACAGAAGGGGATCCCTGAAAATCCTCATCCCCAGACAGGGTCAGAGCACCCACCACCCAGCCGCACCATGTCGGGGTCATTCCAGTGACCAGGACCAGCTGCCGGCTGCAGCACGTCCTGGTTTGCAAAGAACCAGTCCAGGATGGAAAGTACGCTGTCCCAGGAGTCCTGGATGTCATCATAGTTGCGCCACAGGTTGCAGACCTCTGCCAGGATGGTGTAGTTCACCTGAGGAGAAGAATGGGGTCAGGCAGGAGGGAAAATGGAACTGGTCTGCAAGGTGCGGGAGAAGGGGCAGCCCGAACTGCTGAGAGCTGCGCTGTCCAGAAAGTGTGTAAAAGACAGAGGGATCTGGAGAAAGGCAACATCATGTAGGGAGGGAGGACAAGTCATGTCCCAGTATGACTGGGCACATCCCAGTATGATAGGATGTCTGGCAAAGCAACCACAGAGGCCTTGGGGAAGTATGATCAGCTATCAGCTACAAGAATGAGGGCAGCTTGGCATTGATTCAGAAGGTGAAAGAGGAAGTACATGAATGCAACCAATTCTCAAGAAACATATCCTAGGAGGAATGTCCTATTTCAAGCACTGAAACCAGACAGGACCTGTCTCACAATAGACCGTCGTCAGGAGCAACTCCACACCAGCTGAGTAGGGTGGAGATGGCATACCCCAGGTCCTTCTTCCCACAAACTCCCATCACCTAGCCACACTGGGAACCCCAAACGTTCCCAGATGCCTGGCGGGGAGGCCACATCCTCTCTGCAGCACCATCCAGGGGCAGAGTGATAAGTGGGGTGTAGCACCCGGCTCCTGTGGCTCCAACAAGAGCTCCCCCAGCACACAGGGAACACGGGAAACTGCCATTGGATGGGACAACTCTCACCTTGGGGGGGAGCCCCCCCTGGTATGCTGGCCAGCTGCAGGAATAGACAATGGGGCGGCCGGTGGCGTTCAAAGCCCTCGCCATTTCTGGGTAGCCTTAGGGAGAAAAGATGACAATTGATGAAGAGGATGGCTAGCAGCAGCCTGTGTCCCAGCAGCAGCCTGTATTCCAGCCCACCCAGCAAGGGGAAACCCAGGCCAGCATGGCTTTCTGCCTTACACCAGCTCCAGGGCACCTGAACTCCCTCCTCTTTGCCCAGGAGTTGCAATAGGAGACAGAAAGGAAGAACTGGCTGGCCAAACATTTCTGCAGATGGCCAGCTGCCCCAACCAAAGCAGCAAAGGGAGAAATACCAGATGGCCCATGGGCTTTTACCCTTTGCTTGCTCCTCTTCTGATGAGTAGCACCCATCCAGTTTTAGCATATCCACACCCCACTCTGCAAAGGTCTGGGCATCCAGTTTCACATAGTCCAGTGTGGTGCCCGGGTAGCCCCCACAGGTGAGGTTGCCCAGGTCGCCGTAAATGCCCAGCTTTAGGCCCTTGGCATGGACCTGTAAGGAGAGGAGAGCTGCAAGGACTGGATGAGGGGATCCAAGGTGTCCCCAGGTATCAGTGTCCTCCATCCCTTCCCAGTTCTTCCACCATGGGCTGGCTAGGCCCATGGTGGCATGGAGACACAGAAATCCCCACAAACCCCAGTAGACACTCACATAGTCAGCCAGAGCCCTAATTCCACTAGGAAATCTCTCGGGATCGGGAACCAGCCGTCCTGCTGCATCCCGCTGCTTGGCAGACCAGCAGTCGTCAATGTTGATGTACTGGTATCCCAGCACTCTCCATCCATCCTGTGCCAGCCGATCTGCCATCTCGAAGAAGAGCCTCTCGCTGTGGGTTGAGGGGACATGGCAGGCTGAGACCCTGCAACCCCTGTGCCCCACTAGCTGTGGTAGGCAAAGGGATTTGGGGTTAGCTGGGGACTCTGGAGGGTTGATCGCTGCAGGGCTGGTCTGAGCCATAGGAAGGACTCCTGTTTAAACCCCGTCAGGGTCCCATTCATTGACCTCACCGAGGGAAAGTGTTTCCCGACACGCCGCAAAGCCTGGCCACATCCTTCAGCTCCGGGGGCTCTCCAGCCCAGCACCGGGCGCCTGAGTCCCCTATCTCCCACGCACCATACACCCGGGATACCAGGGACACACATACTGCCAGAGCTGACGCAGGCCTGATGTCCGACCAGACCGCTCCCCGCCCTGCTGACCTGATGCAGTTGTGGGGATCCGCCAGGCAGTCCACGTTGCAGCGGAACCTCTCCCAGGCTAGCCAGCCCATGGGGGGAGTGCGCGCCAGCCCGTTCTCCAGGGCCACGGAGGGCAGCGCCAGGGCTACGGCCACGGCCACAGCCAGCCCGCTCGGCATCATCGTCCCCACCGCTGCCGCCGGGGCACAGACACACTCTCCCCTCTCCGGCCCGGCCCCGCTCACATGATGCCGCCCGCATCACCTGACCGCCCGCCCCCGCCTCCCGCCCGCCCCGGGGCCGCCGCGCCCCGCCGGCATGGCACCGCACGGTCCTGCGCCCCGCAGCCGAGGCGTCCCGTTCATATCGACCCCCCCCCCGCACTGCTGCACCCTGTCAGTATCGCACCCTGTCCGTACTGCACCCCACTGCTGCTGCACCGCGCAGCTGGTGCCCACCAGCACTGCGCCCAGCCGGTACCGCACCCTATTGCCATCGCACCCCATTGCTGGCACCCTGTCACCCCTGTCCCCCGTGGCTGCTGCACCCCAATAGTTACACTGGGAGCGGGGGGTTTAGGTCCCCCGAGGTTGGGACCCGCAGGAGTGTCGGCAGGAGCGAAGGGGTGCGGGCGGACGCGGCTCCGGGCAGGCTGCGATGCCCCCCCCCGCTCCCCGCTGCTGCTGCCGCGGCCGCCGGCGGGGCGGTGCTGCCGGCGCGGCGGGACGGCCCAAGCGGCCGCAGGAGCCCTCCCCCGCCCGCGGCCGGGGCCAGGCTGCCCCGCACCGCCGAGCAGGAGCGGCCGGAGGTGAGGCGCGACGGGCCGGGACCGGGGGCCGCCGTCCCGCTGTCGGGACAAGCTGGGAAAGGGCCCGCTGGGCAAGGGCCGGGTGGTGGCGGGGCCGGGCCTGGGCGGCGGCGGGGCGGGCGCGGGGCCGCGGGGTCCGCGGGGGTCGGAGGCACACGGCGAACACTCACACGGAGGGGCACACAAAGACACGCCGCCCGACTGCACAGGCGTGCGCCCCACACACAAAGACACAGAGCCCAGCACTGCACAACTGCGACCCCCGCAGCCCCCTCGCGTCAAGGCTGGCGAGGGCCGCCCCGGCTGCTCGCAGCCAGAGTGTGCCGGGCTGGAGGTTCCCCAGGGTGCCGGGCTGAAGATAGAGCAACCCCAAGGAACTGCCTTTCCTTGTGTCTGGTCGGGGTCTTGTGCATTTTCATACCGGGATCCGTGTCCCCAGATCCTCAGCCCTGCCCCACAAGCCCTAATGGGGGAGATGAGCTCCAGGAGGGATTCTGGAGGTTGCTCAGCAGTGGGGAGCTCCCCACGACCGGATCTGACCAGGGAGTGATGGCTGTGGTTTGTTTTCTGCATATTTCTGTGTGTGGAGTTTTAGCAGTCGGACATCCTTTTGCAGTTGTACAGTCCACAAAGGCTGTGCTGGCTCTGTGCTTCGGGGCTCTTGACTTGCCAAACTGCCTGCCACAGGGTCTCTGCAAATGAGACAGTGATAGCTTCTACAAAGCCTCTTTTTTTTTTTTTTTTTTTTTTAATAAAACCAAAACAAACCCCCAGGAGCCAGAAAACAAACCCACAGGAGCACTGGCCTGAGCTGGGATGGGGTTCAGCCTTTGAAACCAAAAAATGCATGTGCCCCCAGTTTTGCCACCATGGCTTCCAGAGCCACCTGCCGGCACTGAAGACTGGCTTTTGGGGTGGGAGTGATGCAGCTCTTAGTTCTTTTGGTCCAAATTGTTCTGGTTCATGACTTCCTCTCTGCACCTTTCCTTTAACAAAGGATAGGATGGGGCTCATCACAGTGAAGCTTTGGAGACCCTCGACGAGGGAGCAGCCCAACCAAGGAAGACAGCAAGGGATGGCGGTCTGACCCACACAGCCGGTATGGCACCTTGCACCCCGCTGCTGGTGAACCTGCCAGGGCTGAGCATTCTGCTGCCTGGAGGGCTGGTGGGGATGGGTGGTCCTGCACGGAGACAGGGAGTGGGGAGAGGGTGCTGAAATGGAAGTTTCAGAGCCCTTGGGTCTGAAACACTCTCCTTGTCCTGCCCTCTAATAGAGAGCAAAATGAATGCCTTGCAGGCACAGAGGCAAATTTCTTTGATGTGCCCCATAAAAAAACTGGCAAAGTAGGACACTCATGGAATAAGAAATTAAACAGTGGTGTTGGCATTCCCAGAGAAGGCAGGTGTCTTGGTGGTAGGGCTCTGGTGATGACCTCCTCTTTGCAGCAGTGAGGAACTAGCCTGCCCTTTGTAGGGGTACCTGCTGGGTTAGATGCTGTCCTGCATTGCTGGCTGCTGGAGTCAGGGCTGCTTTTTCCCTAGAGGCAGGATCAGGCCTCTTCTGGTGGGGCCAATGACATATTCCACACACTGGGACAAATTCTTCTCCTTCTCTTCCTCTGCTCCTAGGCAGGGTGATGAAGCTGAATGAGCGAAGCGTGGCCCACTATGCCACCTGTGACTCGCCCGCCGACCATGCTGGCTTCCTGCGCAAGCGGGTGGAACGGCACCACCACCATGCCCACCACTACGGCACCTCCTACCAGCGCCGCTGGTTTGTCCTCAAGGGCAATCTCCTCTTCTACTTCGAGGAGCGGGAGAGCCGTGAGCCCGTGGGGCTGGTGGTCCTGGAGGGCTGCACCGTGGAGCTGTGCGAGGCCGCTGAGGAGTTCGCCTTTGCCATCCGCTTTGATGATGCCGGCGCCAAGGCTTATGTGCTGGTGGCTGATGGGCAGGCTACCATGGAGGCCTGGGTGAAGGCACTTTCGCGGGCCAGCTTCGACTACATGCGGCTGGTAGTAAAGGAGCTGGAGAAGCAGCTGGAGGAGGCCTGCAAGAGCTTGGCCGCTTGCCGCAAGTCTCCACGGAGGTCCTCCTCCTCTGGCAGGAAGAGGCATCTCTCCAACCCAGCCTTGCTGCCTCTCCAGGAGAAGCCTTCCATCCTGGAGAACGGTTACTCCACATGGGGTAGTGGTGGTTGTATGCCCAGTGGGGCTGCCTGTCCCGACCATGATGGGGGACAAGCAAAGCCCCCGCCGCTGCCTCCTCGCCGGCGCTCGGCCACTGGCAGCGCCACAGGGTCCCCAGTGCCCGGCCTCTCAGCAGCCATGCTGGAGAGCCCAGTGTCACCAGACACAATCTGTTTCTCCAAGCTGCACAACTGGTATGGGCAGGAGATTGTGGCACTGAGACAGGAGTGGCAGGAGAGGCAGAAGAGGGGACACCTGTGACTGAGGGTGCAGGACGCAAGTCACCAGCCAGCTGATGCCTGTCAGCCTGTCTCCCACATGGGAAGAGCAGAGCAAGGGATTCAGTGGCTGAGTGTGCAGTGTGTGTCTGCTTTACAGGATGTGTGGGAGGGATCTGAGTCTTCCCCAAACCTCATGTTTCATTTCCATGAGGCTTTGTACAGCCGGAGTGTGTAATACCAGGGGAGCCACCTCTGAAGTCTCCTCTGCTGGTGATACGAGGTGCAGAGGGGGCCCAAATCAGCACATATGCAACGAACCTCAACCGACAGGCTTGGCCCCTTGCCGTCCTGACGGGGGTGCTTCATCGCCCACCTCTCCTTCACTGCTTTTTTGTGGTTTTGTTTCTCAGCGTGGAAGTTTGCACAGGTCAGCGTTTATTATTGTCTGTGGTCTTGTGCCAAAGTCCTTCTGCTTTTGTTCTTTTGCTGCAGATAAGGCTGGGCTCTTATGAAGTGCCTCCAACGGGCCACTGGCCCTGGCGTGTGCCTCCAGCCTTGTGCCTCTCTCACCACAGGACGTGTGTGAGCCACTGCAGCTGTGGCTGGCCCAGCAGCTGAGGCTCTTGCATTGTCTTTTTTTTTTACTTTACTTCTGCACTAACACTTCTTCCAGCTAAATTCTTCAGGATGCAGATATCACGGGCTTGCACCTGTCTCTTTGGGTGCTCATGCTCAGCAACAGGGCTGAAACGGAGACGCAGAGCATTGCCTGAAGCAACAGCAAGGACCAGGAGCTCCCTAGGGCTTATCTGAACTCTGTCAAGTGGTAACCAAACCTGTTACTATCTTGGGCTCAGGCTTTCCCTGTTCCAAAACAGGGATGCTAAAGCCTCTTTGCCTGGTCGAGAGTAAATTTCTCAGCCTTTGTTCAGACCACAGCTCCTGCAAAGTGCCATATAGGGCTCAGTGAGCTCATTAGGTTGCTTGCCCAAGAGGGTGTCCAGAGCCACATCCTTGCTGGGCCTCTCTCATTGCTGTGGCTCTGCCCAGCTCCTGGCAGCACTGCTCAGTCAGAGGAGAGGCTTTGGAGGAGCAGGGAGGAGGAAAGAGCTGGTCTCGGGAGGAAAAGGGAAGGTGTGGGAGTGATTTACAGGTAGCAGTGACTGTGTGTTGGCAGTGTCTGGGCTTGCCTCTCTAGCATCAAAGCCATATCTCTGCCTTCTACTAAGCCACCACTTGGTCTGCCTGTGGTTCCCTCTGACTTCATCTCAGCATTGCTTGGCTGATCCCTGTAGCACACCCCATCTTCCCAGCAGGCTGGGAGGGCTGCAGGGAGGAATGCCTGTCACCTTGCTGCAGAAACAGACGTGTCCATCAGTAGGTCAGAAACCTTGGCCACAAGGCAGATGGTACAAGTAGGTGGATGCCAAGTCCAGGGACAAGAACACCCTGGAGTTGGGGTTTATAAATCTCCCTTATCCTCTTGGCAAAGGCTGTTTTTCAGATAAAAAAATATATTTGAAGTAGTTATGTGTTTCCTATCTAAAAATGGAAAAACCTGGTTTTATTGCCCTGTTTTTATTGCCCTATTTTATTAAGGAGCCTTGCTAGGAAAGCAGAAGGCCATTCCAGGTCATGACTGGCTGGAACCTATTTTGCTTTTGTGGAGTTAAACTCAACTTTATACTTTGCAATAGCCAGTAAAGAATGCCAGTGCAGAAATCAAATTAATTCCATTAACTTTTGGTGCCTTTGAAAATATAAATCTCTAGTAGTTTTGGATGATGAGCTTCCAGCCTCCTGCCTAACTATGGCTCAATTGTGTATTAGAGGAAATCTTAAATCATATCTTAGCAATATGACTTCAGGCAGTGACAGTGTAACCTTCACTTACAAGTGATGCTATCTGGTCCTCTCCAGTTTGTGCCTGTATTTCTTCATAGCAAGGATCTTCAGGTTTGGGAGGATTATTTTTGTTCTGTTTTTTAAGTGCAAACAGTTCAGAAAAAG